TCGCTAGAGGAAATCCGGAAAGTGACATCAACTTGTCCAGTATGCGCGGAGCTTAAACCAAAGTGTGTAAAGTATAATGAAGGGACCCTTATTAAAGCGACTCAACCGTTTGAGAGGATAAACATTGATTTTAAGGGGCCAATTCCAACCACAGGTCGTAATAAGTATATTTTGACAATTGTTGACGAATTCTCACGATTCCCCTTTGCGTATCCTTGTCCAGATACTTCCTCCTCGTCAGTCATTAAATGCTTTACTAACTTATTCTCAATTTTTGGCATGCCATCTTATATACATTCTGATCAAGGAGCTGCGTTCATGTCACAAGAGTTGAAATCATACTTACATTCTAATGGAATAGCAACAAGTCGATCTTCACCTTACAACCCTCAAGGGAATGGCTTGGTTGAGAGGTATAATGGAATAATTTGGAAAGCAATTACACTAGCTCTTAAGAGCAGACAACTAAGATCTTCACAGTGGGAACTAGTAATAGAAGAAGCATTACATTCTATAAGATCGTTGCTGTGTACGGCGACGAATTGCACTCCACATGAACGTATGTTCCGGCATTTACGAAAATCATCTAATGGTAATTCGCTGCCATCCTGGCTCATATCCTCTAAAGTAGTTTTCCTAAAGAAATTTAATAGACAAAGTAAATATGAACCTTTGGTTGAAGAGGTGCATTTGCTCGAGGCAAATCCTGAATATGCCACAATACGACACTTTGATGGACGAGAATCTTTAGTCTCTCTAAGACATTTAGCCCCAAGAGGTGATATGAATCTTTTGGATGAATGCGACAATAATCTAACACACCGGGAACAACCAGAAGATAAATCAGACTCTAACAAACTTCTGCAATCTGTAGATGAGCGTGGTGAAGGTGATTTTGATAGCACTGAATTAGATCACACCACAGTATCAAATGACGACGTTATCACAGAAGAACAAACAACTAAAGAAACTAAAGAAGACGCGACGCTACCGATCCAACCAACAGGGATAGTTAACGACGAACGCCGCCCGACTCGAACAAGACAGAAACCCAAATACCTGAAAGATTACGTTTAAATCTACAGGGGGTGAATGTAATATAAATACGTTACTATTGATACCTATACATGTTTGAAGTATTTACCCTATATTTAGTTGTTATTATTTATTTAGTTGTCACTTAATTTTGTACAGTTTTAGTTAAATGAAACCTTAAGAAAGGTATAAGTTTCATTACAATACCTCAAAAGATAACCAGAAGGGATAAAATTAAAATGAGATAGTAAGAAAATAATTAGGAGTGGTATATATAATAAGAATAATAGAAAATAATAGGAAGGTGGAGGAGCGGTAGGTTAAACGTTATATGGAACAAGAGGAAAAGGAAGACCCAAAAAGACGTGGAAAGGTAAGGTGACAAGAATACTTAAAAAGAGAGAAAGGAAATGGGACAAAGCTAAAAATAAAGCGAATAATAAACAAGAAATGGTATACAATACAGAAGACTAGCGTTAAATGTCTTACACCTTCGGGTAGAAAATGCTTTGATTATATATTATATAATAATAAATCAAGTTATACCAAAATTATGTCTTCAGCGTAAGCATTTATTGCCGAAAGTAGTTTGAGGCAAATTTGTTGTGAACTTAAAGGAAATATTTGTCTTTATGACACGAATAAGCGGAAATGTTGATGTTCTCCGGAAAGCGCTCGAGAAACTAATACATAATAATGAAGTTTTTCGCAAGTAGTGTCAAGAAACCAGAAAACTTCTTGTAACTTTTAGATACCATTACAGTAATTATACAGAGTTGACTATTTTTTGCGTTAATACTAAGATTGAATTAAAGATTTGTCGGTTAAATACGAGGATTGGTCAAAAAACTGGGAATCTAAAAAAATAAGAGATATTACTAAATTACTAATGACTACAAAAGGGTTTACCAATTTATTCCAGTTTTTAAAGAGAAATAGTTTGGTAAACGCCGATGTAGTAAATGAGATGCAGATGCCATTCACACTCTGTACTTTGATATTCAAGTGTTGCTAATCTCTATATTACTGAAGTGCTACGTCAAAAATACATCTGAACGTTCCTCGTATGCGAAAAACGAGCAAACGGCTCTGCGCAAAAGTTTTGGCACTTTTTAAGGCGAATTCGAATGAATGAGTAGGTAATTCATAATAAGTCGGAACGCAATCGTAAACCAGTAAACACAAACGAACGAATTGAAAAAAGAACAATTCATATCGAAGAGAAGAGTAGGTAGAAGAAACTGCCCCCTGAGCTGCCCTTCAACCCTCGCTCAACATCAGCGACCGTTTCAAAAGCTGAGAAGTCGATTAACGTCAGGAGTAGGAAAGTGAAATAGAGCTTAAATTGCAGCACATCTAAGTTCCTTGCGAGAGACTCTTCCAGAGCCTGAGTATTTTACGCGACTGCCACCGCACAGGGTCGCTTTTAGCGAAAGGGAACTCTAAGAGTTTTTAAAATTAAAAATAAACAAGATACCTTATTCTGTTTTCGTATAGCATACAGGCTGTCCCCAAAAATAATGAATTACTTTCACATACACACGGATATAGATAATTTATTTAAAGTAAATATTCTTAGTACATACTATTCTCTCCATATTTCATATTACGTACACGTAAGCAAGGATCGAACAAGTTTTGTTGATTTTTAAAAATGTATTCTTTAAAAATATATATCAAAATGTACCGCTAAACAAAAATATTCATCGGTTATATTTTAAATGTAGAAAAAATATTTTATTGAAAATGTATGTGATATAATATTCAATCTTATATATTAGAGATGCTTTTCCAACATTTCAATCTTTTGAAGAATCAGTCAATTACAGTTAATATAGCATTCAACACGATTTTGATAAGCAGACCCACGTAACTTTAATTAAACCAATTGTTTATAATACAACACCCTGTATATTATTTCAGCATTAAATTTGTAGTCCGTCTGTTGTGTATTTACTTAAAAGACATTTGTTTGTCATCGCCTCTAAATATTTTACTCTATATTGCAAAGTTAAAACTAATTTTAAGTGATTTGGCGTTTTTCACTGTTGTAAGTAACTCACACATGGAAGGACTTTTATTGTCTAACTAATACGAATATAGCGATCGAAGAAATTTCTAACAACGGAGATAGCATGTTTTTTAAGAGATAAGAGTGTCTGTTTATAATAACACCATTAAATATAGATAACGAAGTCATAAATAATATTAATTTCTCGTGATGTTGGCTCGAGAACTATCAGCATCATCGACCTATTGCGTTTATTTTTATATCACTGATTTTTAAACTATTAGCTAATATACTTTTAGGTAAAGCGTAAATATGTGTTCCTATGGAGCCACTTTTCCAAAATTTCGTATTTTTTTATGATTTTCCCAATAATTTTAGAAAAAATAAACTATAACCAATATTGGAAAAGTTACCTCGATATTTTTTTTTAAATAAAAAATAAGCTTTAAAAGTGGGGCTATTTTTCGTATTAGAGACAATTATCAAAGCAAATAATCCTATTAATATTATTAGGCTATGTAAGAGTATATTTAATGCATACTCTGTTTAAATAATTATTATGACAAATAATAATAATTATTTTTTTTAGTTTTACACTCTAATCCGTCTGTAGCCTGGCGGCACTGCAGCCTGCGGCTTATTGTGCCACCCTTTGAAGGTCCTACTACTTTCCCACTCACCAATTCATTCCCTTATTCATCGTTAATTATTCCACATCATCGATGGTTAAACGCTAGTCCCATGGTGACACGGCCCTTAATGGAATCTCCCAGTGGCCACTCATGCCCGAAAAGATCACGGCTTAACTGTTACGAGTATGTGGGTGCACACTAATCTCGCAGCTAGCCTCTCCAACTATGCGGACTCGTGTTAGTTTTCGTCGGAATTTTCATTCCAGAACTAAAAGTATTGATTACAATCTGACAAAAATATTATGTCTATCCCGTATATCCTCCGGCGTACTTAGAATCATAGCAATTAAATCTGCCTCTGTGATGAACACATAAAAGCACATTTAATGCAAGTTAGGTGATAATTGTGTAACTGTTAAAATTAATTATCGAAAAGATGAAACTGTTTTAAACAGATCCAATAAAAGCTAACTATTACAAATTAAGTACACAATCTTTAAAAAAATTAACAAAAAAAGAATAACATTCCTTAAAGAATCAAAAAGAACAATTCTAAAACTTTAAAATGTAATTAACACTGGAAGCATTCCTCGATCTCCTCATATTTGTTCCAGTTCATAGCATTCTACTGTTATTTCTTTAATAATGGTACAAGGCTAGATATTTTGCATAGTTCAATAAATTGTATCTTCTATATGAAGCGTTATTAACTTAGTACATAATATTAAAAAACAGTGGCGCACATATTTAAAAAAATCTGTACGCACCCCCAGTGTGACTAACAAAGAGAGATTGTATAAAAATACATTTTTGATCAATATTTAACCAGTATTGAGTCGTTTTCAATCTTGTGTACTATGTCAATATGTCGCAAATCGATTACCTGGAATAAAAAACTGACGTCTTTGAATGTAAAAATAAATAAATCCTGTCATTCAGTTGTAGAATTATTTAATCTTGTTCCCAAAGAAATTTTATTTCTTTATATATTTACTTTTATTTGATTCTTTTCCTTCCATTCTTTATTCAGTTACAATACCATTATCCACAGCACTTTTTCAACTTTTCGGTTCATACCTACTTAATTCTTTTTAACTGTTCCCTAAGTTTTAGGGAATGGGAATAAGCCGCAGGCGCCAGTGGCGCCACCTTACGAACTGATTAGGGTGATAGCAATGAATCACACAAATATTTACTTATTTAACCATTTACAGAATAGATAAAATTCTTTTCATTTTGACCATAAGTAATCACATTGGCGTATAAAGAATAAAAATTACTTATATAATTAAAAATTAAAATGTTATTTAAAAATAACTTACCTAAATGCTTATTTAAAATTCGGATTGAGTATGGTAGTCATCTACATTTGGCATTCGTAAACCTAAAAACAAAAATCGAGTGAAGAAAAATACAATTAAGAAATGTATTCTCTATTTCATTAAGCAAAACGCTTTAGACAAACTGTATTCAGTGTTATACAAATATTAATATGGTTTTAGAAAAAAAATTAATAATTATTTATTATTTATTGTTTCGGCCTTTACTTGATGAAAATCTATTTAATCTTGAAAGAGTAAAACCAAATTTGGTAGATTTTCACACTTTTATTTTAAAAATATAAAAATTTTTAAAAACACTAACATGACATATGTTTCGAAGTACAACTTCTTTTTCAAATGTGACTATTTACAACACTTTACAAACACTTGAAATAAATAGATTTAAAAATTCAGATAACTTACTAAATGATCAATTAGATATTAATAACTCACCCTTATTAAATCTCATTCCTAGTTTTCTGTGAGATAATCCCGGTAATGTGCTATCTTATTGTTATCTGATTGATATTATAATTACCTAAGTACCCTTATTTACTTTAAATAGTTAGTTTATTTTGTAATGTTATTGATGTTTTTCTTAAGTACTTTGTTTTGTTAAATTATTTCGTATATATATTGGATACCGAATTGTAAATAGTCACATTTGAAAAAGAAGTTGTACTTCGAAACATATGTCATGTTAGTGTTTTTAAAAATTTTTATATTTTTAAAATAAAAGTGTGAAAATCTACCAAATTTGGTTTTACTCTTTCAAGAATAATTATTTAGATGTATTTTCATAAAAAGTTAAATACAAACTATCACGAAGGACAGTAGGTAGCAGACAGTTAAAAAATGTATTACAATTAAAGGGAGACCTATAAAAAAGTCAATAAGGTCAATTTCTTCTACAGCCCTATTAGCAAAAAATGAAAAGTTTATAAAATAATAAATAATTTATACAGCTGTATAAAATTATTGACTATTGTATTGATCTCGCTATAGATCAAGTAAATATTTTCTAAATGTCAATCTTACTTTGTGGCTATGAAAAATTTACTTCGCTGTAGGTCCGAACAAAGACAATCATATTTGAACTCGCTATAGATCAAATAAATATTTGCTAAGTGCCTATCTTACCTTGTAGCAATTAAAAATGGATCTCGTTATAGGTTCAAACAAAAACAATATTATTTGACTATTGTACTGATCTCGCTATAGATCAAGTAAATACTTGTTAAATATCAATCAGTTCTGTTGCAGATATGAATGACTTTTCTTTGATGAACTGTTTTGCCTGTATTATTTTGGAAAATAATTCTCCTTTTTTTTTAATTTTATAATAAACCACTAATTTTGAATTCCCTCCCACTATTTGGTCCAAATGTTGATAAAGTAATTAATAACTGGACCAGCGCCGGCTGTCTACAATTTATTTCCCGAGAATAGAGTGTAAAATTTCACAATATACCATATTAGGTTGTTATTTTACCACCTACTGAGCCACATCATTTGTTAAAATAATCCTTTAAAAATACATGAAAAACGTTTATCATTTTCGCCACACCACCAGTTAATAAATTTTAACGCATTTGACCTGAATTACACCCTAAAAAATTATACCTTCATGTAACAAGCGAATGTGTTACAAAAACGATAGAACTTTTTTACATCGTTCATTTAATGCTACCCTGATGAATTAATTCGTATAAGCTTTTGACTTCATTTAAATCTCTGCACCCTGAAACCCACATGAATATTGTTTTCACTGAAATATCAGTTTATACTAGTTGCAGCCATAAAAAAAACCCTTGAAATTCATTCGAGTAAAAAATTGTTTGATTAATGCTTCCAACGTTGTAAAAAGGGAAAAGGAATATTAATGTAAGCGTGAGGTGCGAAGATATTTCTATTTAAGAATTAGCAAACTGATTTAACAATGCTCAACAAGAAGAGATAATATTACAAACTTTTTTTGGTGTCACCCTTGTATATCGAAAAGTTTCAGGGATTTAGATGAAATTAGTTGGATGAAACCAGTGCTTTGTGATAGTAGATAATTAAACTAATGGGAACATTAATTAAGATTGCAATTTTGTAATGATAATTGTATTGTTTGTAAACAGGTAGTTTCGAAACTAACAAAAGACTTATAAAATACATAGTGAGCAGATTTAAAATAGCAAATACAAAAATATTAGGGAAAGCTTAATGAACAATAACATAATTTGAATTGTTTTAACAAATCAGATCGCTTGATAACTAACTCTTTTATTTTCAGATTTACGGAAAATAAATTGATGACCTGTGACCAGTCCAATATTTAATTACTTTAGGAATTGAATCAGATAAATACTAGCAAAGGGTCTAAATTTATCAGCTTTTAATCAAACCCTTCAACGTTCATTCAAATAAAATATTTCAAATGTAATTAGTTTAACACTTTGATATACGGTTTGAAGTGTTTTTACTAACAAAATAAAAGATATATTTATTAAGCAATCAGTTATTTTATCAAACAGAACTTGATATGCTAATCACATAGATGTCATCACTAACCAATCACAGTTTATTAATTTAATTTATATTTACATTAAAATATTTTATAATTTAACTAATTTAAATCACATTTACTTAGTCGCTAATTTATATGGATATATTTATATTAACAATATTAATTAGATCGCTGACTCTAATGGCAAAACAATCCTATTTGTATGCCTAAATGTTTCAGACCTGTCTTGAGAATTTTAGAAGGCACCTCCACCATTTCTTACACTAACCAAAGTAAGTGTACGTGTTTTTAAAACTAAATATTTGATTCTTCCCATGAGTAAAAAATCTAAAACCGACAGATCTGATAACCTTGCTGTTCATGGGGAAATACTACATTATACATTCAGACTCCAAAGATTTTGGTAATTGACTTCCCTTTGCGAGTGTGGGTTGGTTTCTGGCCAGTACAGGCTGTTATACCGGGTGTTCAAATTAAAGTATTACAGTTAAATACCGCCGAAAATATGCATTTTATAAAAAAAGTTTTAGACAAAAGTTTTATAGTTTTTTGGGGGAAACATTTTGTCTAAATTCATTTTTTTATAGCTAACCATAATATGGCTATATCGAGGTGGATTTTTTTTTCAAATTGGAACCCCATTTTTTTACATGTTCTTAAAGTTCATAAAAAAATAAGAAATTTTTAAAGGAATTTTTTTTATTGGATTTTTACTTATTGAGTAACACCTATTTGAAAATTTTGCTGCCGAAAAAAAAATAAAATAAAAATAAAAAATTTTAGCTAAAATTGTTTTCCCCAAAAACTATAAAACTTTCGTCTGAAACGGTTTTTTTATAAAAGGCAGTATTTAACTGTAACACTTCAATTTGAACACCCGGTATAAATTGACTTTACCTTTGCATGGAAAACGTAGCCTGGTATAAAAGAATATAAAGATGCATTTTATAATTCTTTAATATTCTATTCACCAAAGAATATTGCAAATATCTTTTAAAACTGTCAGAATGGAGAGTTTTGATATTTGAGTGATCAGTTTATTGTTCATACATATTTCAGTAACTTTAGAGATGGGGAGAGCAGCGCTATCAGTCTATAGCTGTTGATTGACTAAAGGTACGTATACATACAACAGGCCAGGCTCGGGTCGTACCTGCATCGTCCCAACAACAAGCCTAGTTCGTCAGATTTGTACGGCGCTGTGTGTTTACCACGGGCCGGGCAAAATAGAATCGAAGTACGGCCGTTGCTTTCCATCGTACAGCAGATCCTCAATACCGTACAAATCTGACGAGCCTGGGCCCATTGTTAGGAGTGTCTTGATTTTCTTATAATTGAAACGTCTTCCGTAGGTGGTCAGCGAAAAAATCAACTTATTGTTGATTGTCTCTTGCCGATTTGTTATCTAGTATTCTGATGAGTGGCTACAAGAATTTTTAATATTTTTACTTGTCTTTTAAAACTAGTAAATAGTTTTTTGTCATCTGTTAGCCCTACTCGATAAGAAAATATAGAGACCTATTTCAAATTAAACTTATGGTAATTTATAGTAGTTCTTGTTTGAATATTTATATCTTATAGCTGACAGTTGAAAAAAAAAAGTAGTATCAACGGGAAAAGCTGTAAAAATAAGAAATTCACATAATGAAGATTAATTGGAAAACGGAGAGCGTGGCCAAGCGGATCGAGAAAGTAGACCGAATTATAGGGTGACGACTGTTGCCGCGAGATGTCGAATTAAAACCGCTACAAGGAACATCACAGTATCACAGTACAGAACAGAATAGAACAGACCAGCAAGCTTAACAAAAGAGATAAAGCGCCCATCTCCCTTGAGATCGGGTTGATGAGTACCTCCCGCGCAGCTTTTAACTACTCGGCACCCCATCGAGCCCGGTTACTTCTGGGTAACAATACACTCCTGACTTATAAATGTCACTGAAGGGATTGTATAAATTGATGTCTTAGAACAGAGGAATTAATTTTAGTCGCCCGTTCGGAAATTTGCCAAATACCATTTTGGGATTGCGAGTCGGGCCCGTTAGTGCGTTCCGCCTACTCATTACATAATCCGCTGTTCCAGTCCAGAGCTATTAGGGAGACAAAACACATCCTCCGAATATTAGCATGAGCAAAATGATTTCATAATTGAGAAGACCTGTTTACTTTAATCCACATAATAATTAAATTCATTTTTCTACAATCTTGTAAAATAATACATACATTACTAAAACGTATTTTTAATATACACAAGGGTCTTTCAATGTCATTGAATGTTTTTGTTCGAATAGCATTTGATCGAAAACTATTTTATCGAATTTCAAAAATATAAAAAAGGTAGAAAATCGAACATCGATCAAAATAAAAAATAATCCTTTTGTATCTTTTTTTTAGACCTGCATTATTCGGGATCTGTAGGACCTCGATATTGTCTCTTGATCCCTTCTTTGGCAATTGGTATCTTCAAACCTATGTGAAAGTGATAATGTCTATACTATCTATCATTTCACGTTTACAATACCCCGAAGCACTTTGTTCTGAAATATT